GGGGGGGGGGAAGCTCTTTTGAGTTGAGTATTTGAGAGGGGAAGGGAGGGGGAGGGAGATTGTCAGACTTCATGGAGCAAAGCAATTTATGTAACAAATGCCTCCCAGTCTTTCACTAAAAGCAATAAGTTTACTGTATTGAAAAATGTTAATTGTAGTGCTGGGACACGTACTTCTCACTGGTAGCAAAGGCCCTGACAACGGGGAAGACAAAGAGAGCCAGAGAGATGCGCATAAAGACACCTTAAACAAAAACAGTATTTTTGGTAAAAAAAGTAGGAGGACGTTCATAGAGATTTTCGTATATGAATGCAGAGGCCCACTGAAGTCTCTGACAGGTGGAAACACAAAGATGGTGCACGTGGAAAAATACGAGTCCCGTTCTCCTGCCTGTTTAGCTGAAGCTTTGAAAGATTGCAAGTTAAAAAGAAAAAAATCAAAATAACCCTGAACACACCCCCAGCCAGTGTGTTTCATTAACCTGTTGTGAACTACCAAATGAATGACCCGTTCCTTTTTTTGGCAGAAATATGTGGCTTATCTGGGACCTTGAATTGCTGTCCAAATCTGCTAAATCTTGTATCTTCCAAGACTTTAATGTTGTCTGGAAGGTATTACTTCTGCAGATGCGGCTACCTGCAGTTGGGCGAAGTGCTCTTAGGCTGTCAGGCTCTTCAGTCTGGGGCTGAAGGGCAGCATGTTTTAGCAGAGTATAGCGGGTACACTTCATATGATGGATTTACTCTGGATGGCTTCCAAAAATGGCATTGAAGTTCCAGCACAGTGATTTAGTTTCCAGACATATTTTTTCCCTGTAGCTCTTCTTGAGTTTCAGACAGATGCGCTTCTGTGTTAGGGGCTGAAGCCTTTTTAAATATTTAAGGAGGTTTATGCTTCTCTTCTGTTACCTCTGATAATAAATTTTTCTGTGGTTTATGACATCTGTACTTAAACGTATTTGAAGCTTTAGCTCTGCAGAGCTTTGCAGACCTAGAATTTCGAAGGTTTTCAAAAGAAGCAAATTTACAAGTTACCTTCTGATCTGTATCCATTGAGGATGGTTTCAAAGTAATCACACGACTGCCTTTGCGCCCAGGTAAGTTTAATGCCTTTATGAAGTCCTGTTGCTTCCCTATGCTCTCCATACAGAAGTCTAGACTTCAGGTCACTGTCCCAACTCCAGAAATGATACATTTTCTAGTTCTCGTATATATTCTTGATGTATATCTTATTCTTTCTATAGGAAAGCTGTTCTCCCTAATTTCATAAGTCATAGTGTATTCGTATTTAACTTTTTTATTATTATGGTCTGTGTTGTTCTCCAGGACTGATGACCAGCTGTGAGAGATTTTCTTAATGACAAGTTGCTTTCTAAGGATTCGTTTACGGACCAAGCATTTTGTGGTGAGTTTACCATTAACATACTTTCCAGTATGTTTCAACTTACTTGAAAGTGATGTCATGTTCTGTTAATTTTGAATGACCTATTAAGGATATGTTACTTATTAAAGGAAGCTGTTGTAGATAGTCTAAATGCTTTAGCAGCAATGACACTTAAATCTTTAGTGCTTCTGGAATTCCCCTCAGGTTTTTGCAGAGGTGCAGACATCCAGGAATGCAAGAGCAGGTGGGTAAAACGATGGTTTTCCAACTTTGATGAAGACTGATCTGTACCATTGTTGGTGGATAAAAAGTTTTTATCCCACAGCAGACTCCTGATCATGGCTTGCCCCCATTTCCTGCCTTTGTCATTCTCAGAAACCCAGTTAGTGGTAACCTTGAAAATACGGCACTATACAGTTACCTTTTTTGTGGTTGTTTTATTTGAACAGAAAATAATCTTGTGTGTATCCACTGAAAATGTGTACTGGAAAGCAGATGCCATCCCTGGGGCTGTTGAGGTTTGTTCCAAGTTTTGCCCTTGCAACTGTAAGGTTCTGCCGCATGAACGGAGCCGTATTAAGGAATAATCTCGTTCCTCTTTGGGTGTAACTGCTGTGGCTGTAGAGGTTACAGTCCCCCGGCATTTGCTCAGAGGTCACCACAGGACATCGCTTCTCAGGTGCTGTATTTTGCAGTCTGTTTAAGTCCCTTGGGTGTTGGATGTCACCTCTCTCAAAAGGCCAGGCTGTGAACTGGGGGGTGGTTCTCTGCGCCCACCCCCTCCACCATGGCTGGCAGAGGGCTGGGAGGGACGTGGTGGCTGCAGCCTTTCTGCGTTCCACAGGTCGCAGCCTTGCATCGTGTGGAGTCACCACGGCCCGAGACTGAGCACAAAGTTACTCTCTTCTGCGCCGGGAAGAAACATCTCTGGTTCAGCTGCTGCTGTTGAGGAAAACTGCTGTTTTGGCAAAGGCGAAACCCGTCCTCAGAGGGATTCTGCGTGTGCTGTGGGCTCTGCTGGTTACGTGCTTGAAGGGAAGTTGGCGGCGGCAGAAGGTGGGAACGGGTTTCGTGGTAGCATGGGATGGGAGGACATGCAGCAGCTCATGGGGCGCTTGCAGGCAGCACCCGTGGGTGCTCAGCTTTGCCCTCACAGCCCTTGTGCCGCTTGTCCAGAGCGACGGCAGCCACGGCGCCGTGCTTCGGTCTTAAAATATATTATTAAAAGGATTATAAATAGAGTTGTGCTCAAATGGTCTTGCACTGGTTCTCGTGCAATAATGTGGTGGCATTCACTGCTGGAGGAGAGCCCTCGCTGACGAGCGGCAGCATCACCCGGCCGCACAGCGCTCTGCTGAGCATAAATTTTTTAACCTCCTGCTCCTCTTTTTTTTTTTTTTTCTTTTTTTAATCCTTTTTGACCAACAGACAGTAACGCTGCAGCGCTGGAGCACAGCCGCTGTTGGCTCTGAAGCTCAGTGCTGCCGTGCTGATGTCACATGGGCTCTGTGATGTCACGCCCTCCCAGCGGGGTGCCGCAGCCCCGGGTGGCGGGAGGCTGGGACCAGGAGCGAGCAAGTACTGGGGGGGATGGAGGAGGAGGTCGCAGGGGGAGGAAGAAGTGTCCTGTAAACTCTTTGCTTGAACACGAATGGCTTTTCTGGCTCATCAGGAGGTGTTTTGGTGGGTTTTATCTTTCAAAACAGGGAATTCAGGGCATGGGTCTGGATTCACATCGTGGTTCTCATGCTGGCTGCCCCCCCCACCCTCCGACGGTCCCTCCTGCTGCCTAAAGGTGCAGAGCGGGGAGTAAAGGATTTGGTGACTGTAAATGGTAAATACCCCCTCTTAAGTGAAAGGATTGGTTTGGGAGGGGCTGGAGGAGGGCTATGGATGGCACGGCAAGGGAGGAGCAGCTGCGATCATGCCGTTGGATGCTTCGCAGTGGGGCAGGGGAGATGCTCAGCCAGGGGAATTCTGTTTGTACAGGTGAGAAACCATAAGCTGGCTTGAGTGGGCGAAGATGCAGTCTTCAAAGATCAAGCTAGTTGTTCCACGGGGCCTCAAGACCCTGCTTGAGGGGGTGAGCCAGGCTGTCATGGAAAACAACCCCGATGACATTGCAGAGTTTTTTGCTCTCTATTTCCAAGAGCTCGTCGCCTTTCGGAAAGGTTTGTTCCTACCCGTGCTTCACAGGAAGAGCTGAGCTATTTGAGAGTGCTGTCCTGCTCCAGCTTAACTTCTGCTTCTGTTTCCAGGGCATCCAAATCTGGATATAACAGAACTGGTTGATAAGTTTGAGTTCATTAGTGGTAAGATATTTGCCCTTTGTTCTTTTAACATATTTTGAGACAATATTCCAACATGAATGGATGCGAGTACCTTTTGCTTTTTATGGGATGCGTCCCATCCAAATCTGGTTACATGAAAGAAGCATATAGGCTCTGGGTATCAAAAAGGCAGGCGTCTTCAGAAAGCACTTGCTTCTATTTAATGTGGGAAGAATTAGTCCCTGGGGGTGCTATAGTTTCTCCTTGAGCATAGAGGAGAGCCTGGATGCCTTTGCTCATTTTAAGATATTGCAGTGCGATTTATCACCCCCAAAGCAGATAGCGACTTTACACTTAGTTATTCTTTACAAATAGATATTGTATCTCTTTGTTTATAAAAAGATGACTTAGTTCTGCGGGATGCTGATTCCTTTGGGAAGCGCTTGGAGCTTTCAGCTGCTCCCTGGGTTTGGCTGTTAAGGGCTGGACTACGTGGTGCTGCCTGAAGGTTGTGTGGGAGCAGTGAGATGGGTGCGTTCTCTAGCCCACAGCCTGTTTGTATCTGCCCCACTGGTTTGGGTCTCCATCGTCTGGTTACCGTAAGTGTGAGCAGCTTCAAATATCCCCTTTATTCAAAAAGGCCACCTAAGCTGGATTCCAGGTAACCCTGGAACCAGCCAGCACCTGAGACAGCTTTCGTCTATAGATCGAGCACTATACACTACGGTAATTACAGCAATGAAGAGAAGCCCCAGCTATGAACAGAAGGTCTAATATCTTATTCCTTGCTTAGGATCTCCGCTAAAAAAGCTAACCACCACTGATTTCAGCACTTGAAGCAGTTTTCTTGTGAAAATGACTGGTGGATGTTGCAGTGCAACTTAAAGTATCACTGAAGGCTGAAATGTGGTGCATTTGCAAATGTTGCATTAATGATAGCACACAGCAATTTTTGTGAAATCACGGAATGACAGAATGGTTTGGGTTGGAAGGGACTTTTAAAGATTGTATAGTCCAATGCCATGCCCTGGCAGGAATGTTTTTCGCTAGGCCAAGGTTGCTCAAAGCCCCATCCAACCTTACCTTGAACACTTCCAGAACACTTCCTTGAACACAACTTCCCTGGGCAACCTGTTCCAGTGTTTCACCACCCTCAATGTAAAAAAAAAAAAAGTCATCCTGATCTCTAAATCTCTAATCTAAATTTATCCTCTTTCAGTTTAAAACTGTTGCCCTGTATCCCGTCAATGCAGGCCTTGGTAAAAAGTCTTTTTCTGTCTTTCTTATAAGCCCTCTTTAAATACTGGAAGGCTGCTAGAAGGTCTTTGGGGAGCCTTCTCTTCTCCAGGCTGAACAACCCCAACCCTCTCAGCCTGTCTTCATAGGAGAGGTGCTCCAGCCCTCTGATCATCTTCATGACCTTCCTCTGGACTCGCTCCAACAGGTCCATGTCCTTCTTATGTTGGGGGCTCCAGAGCTGGACATAGTACTCCAGGTAGGGTCTCACCAGAGCAGAATAGAGGTGAAGAATCGCCTCCCTCGACCTGCTGGCCATGCTTCTCTGGATGCAGTCCAGGATGTGGTTTGTTTCTGGGCTGTGAGCCCACATTGTCAGTTCACGTCCAGCTTTTCATCCACCAGTACCACCAAGTCCTTTTCCGCAGGGCTGCTCTCAATCTGTTCCTCCTCCAGTCTGTACTGATACTGGGGATTGCCCCAACGCAGGTATAGGATCCTGCACTTGGCCTTGTTGAACTTCATGAGGTTCACATGGACCAGGCCCACTCCTCAAGCCTGTCCAGATCCTTCTGGATGACATCCTGTCCCTCTACTGAATCAGCTGCACCACTCAGCTTGGTGTCATCCGCAAACTTGCTGAGGGTGTGCTCGATCCAACTCTCTGTCATTGATGAAGATATTAAATAGTATTGGTCCCAGTACAGACCTTCGAGGGCTACCACTCATTACTGGACACTTGGACATTGAGCTGTTGACGGTAACTCTTTGGATGCAGCCATCCAGCCAATTCCTTATCTGTCAGATAGTCCATCCATCAAGCCTATCTCTCTCCAATTTAGCAGCCAGAATGTTGTGGGGGACTGCATCAAAGGCCTTACAGAAGTGCGGGTAGATGGCATCCGTAGCTCTTCCTGTGTCCACTGATGCTGTCACTCCATCGTAGGAGGCCACTAGATTAGTCAGGCACCATTGGCCCTTGGTGAAGCCATGCTGGCTCTCTTTAATCACCTCTCTGTCTTCTGTATGTTTCGACATATCTTCCAGGAGGATCTGTACCATGATCTTACCAGGCATGGAGGTGAGGCTGACTGGTCGGTAGTTCCCAGGGTCCCCCTTACTACATTTTTTAAAAATGTGTGCGATAGTCCCTTTTCTCCCATCGCTGGGGACTTTGCTTGACTGCCGTGACTTTTCAGGTATGGTGGAGATGGGCTGCATAATTTTCTGTCGGCATGCCTGTCAGTGGTTTGCGTATGTGATTGTGAACTGACCCCTGCTCGTTCACCAAACTCCAGTACAGGTCCCTCTTGTATCCCTCTCTTGCTGTGTCCTCCATCCCGCACTATGCAGTCACATAACTGTTATGAAAGGGGATGACCAGGGAGGAATTCCTTAGCAAGCTCGAGCAAGGTTTCCTCTGGAGTGTCCCACCTGCAGTGCCCGCATGGCTTTTGAGACTGGCTGTGCCCCGGGAGGTAGCCAGCTGGCTTGCGTAGCTGCAAGGGAGCTTTTCTTTTCTGTGGCATTGCCCAATACCGACATTGGACTATAAATGGGGCTGTGTTGGCTTGGGATGGCAGTCAGAATAATGCTTTTTCAGAGAGGACTTAGCTCTGTCATCCTTTCAGTTATGTTTCTCTTGTAATTTCTCATCCCATCTATTCATGACTTCAGAAAACAGCTCAGTGCTGAGCTGTGATGATGTATTAAAGACTCGCCTTCTTTTCTGCTCCTGTGCTGGTTTTACATACTGGCCAATGCTTGCTAATCATGATAGAATCCAGACCTCTTGGTTGGTTGTTTTTTCCAATGCTGAGGGTATTATTAACCATGTGGTGGAACACTGTTTTGATCCCATGAGTACTCTCTTGTATTCCTCCCTTTCTAACTAATCTAGAATCACAGAATGGTCAGGGTTGGAAGGGTTCTCTGGAGATCATCTAGTCCACTCCCCCGCCAGAGCAGAGTCACCTACAGCAGGTTGCACAGGACGGCGTCCAGGTGGGTTTTGAATGTCTCCAGAGTGGGGGACTCCACAACCTCTCTGGGCAGCCTGTTCCAGTGCTCTGCCACCCTCAAAGTAAAGAAGTTCCTCCACATGTTAAGATGGAACTTCCTATGTTCAAGTTTGTGCCCATTACCTCTTGTTCTGTCACTGGGCACCACTGCTGAAAAAAGACTGTTCCCATCCCCCTGGCATCCTCCCTTTAAGTATTTATAAGCATTAATAAGATCCCCCCTCAGTCTTCTGTTCTCTAGACTAAAAAGACCCAAATCCCTCAGCCTTTCCTAACCACAACCCTCTGAGCTCTATCTGCCAGCCACTGTTCAGTCCACCCCACTGTCCATTCATCTAACCCGCACTTCCTAAGCTTGCCTGTGAAAATGATGTGGGAGACAGTGTCGAAAGCCTTGGCAAAGTCAAGGTAGAAGCCATTTTTTCACACTATATCAAAAACTTGTTCATGTCTTACCCTGTTCTTCACTTGGATACCTCTTAGGTCAACTAATCAAGATTCTTGAGGGAGCTAAAATGTCACCACCTGTGCATCTGAAATAACTTGTATGGATCCAAAGAGTTCTGATGTGTTGCAAAGAAGAGAATGGTCTTCTAGATGGTGATGTGCTTAATGTGAAAGGTTTAATCTTTTAACCCATAAGCATGGCAATGTTTGTGGGCAGTAGGTAGGACTGTAGCCATCACTGCAGGATCAGGGATACAGTTAAAGCTTCCTAAGTTTTAAAGTGGTACCACTGCTCTCTGAATTTTCTTTCCCCTTATTGATAGGCAAGCAGCAAACCCCCTCCTTAAATTATTCCATCTCTGCAACCCAGGAAGCCTCATAAATGTGCTGTAGAGCATCTAATTGAGTTGGTGCTGAAATCACTCTTAATTTTATTTAAGTGGAAACAGTTGCTCATGTATTGCTGTTAAGTACTTCTTACCTTGCAGAAAATGAGAATGAAAGACTGGAAGAGAAGACATCAGAGTACACAGATACTTTGTTTTCTGGGGAGCCCAAACAGAAGGACAAGAGTACTGACACGGAGGAAGACCGGCTCCTTGAAGAACCTGATATTCAATACAGCTCCAAAGTAACTCAGCACCCATCAATTGCCAGTTCCATTGCAGAAAGCAAAACCCCCCCTGGATCTGATAGAGCTTCATCCCCTGAGGGACCTGAACTGGTGTACGTCCCTGCTGAGTCCACACAGCTCGCTGCCCACATGCTAGGTAACGGTGACTCTGTTTATGCTGTGAGGGATGTGGCAACCAGTGTGCAGACTCTTCACGAAGACTCTCAGACCTCAGAAAATGAATTTACACCAGTAGAAGGTGCTGCTGAAGATGCTTCTGCTGTCCCAGCAGCTGAGGCTTCTGTAGAGGCTGTTAGGTCACAACCAGCAGTGCAAAGTCAGTCCTCCGCAGCTGGAGAACTAGGGCCCTCAGACAGCCAGGCTGATGTTTCAACAAATGATGTAAATCAAGCTTCCTCCGTCCCCTTGTGGGAAGAACCATCACCTCTTTCACCACCACCATCACCTGCTCCTAAAGATCCATTGCAGGCTGTGCCTTCCTGCGACGAAGCTGAGGTTACCTCAACCATTGAGGCTGTATCGCTGTGCTCTGATGATGACATGATTATGGGTGCAGAAGTTCCACCTTATGTTGAGCAGTTTCCACAGAAAATAATCATTCCCTTTGTAGACCAAACAGCTTATCTGGTAAAGATTAATCAGCCTTTAAATGCAGGCCGGGGCTCAAGTGCTACAACCTTAGGTCCATATGCTGATGATTTAGTGTGCCATCCTGAGAGAATGGAATCTACAGCACAAGTGGCATCAGCTGAGCAAGTTTATGTCTTGTCAGGTAAGAAGGTTTGGGACTCTGTGTCATTTTCCTGTTTCATCTTCCAGCTCTACAGCTTCATCAGTGGCCATTAAACAGAAAAATACCTGTGTCAGTGTGACACAGGGTAGAGATGATTTCTAAGAAACTACTGCACCGACACTCTCTGCTTGGCCCCAGTGCGCATGTGTTAGATCTCCCTGCCATCTGTTCCCGGAGATGTGGCTAGAGCTCTGGGCAGGAGTCCTGCGGGCAAATACGCAGATAAGAGTGCCGGGAGGGTGCCCAGTGATGCCAAATGGTCTTGCTCAAAACAAGCCATATTTTCTGAAGCGGGTGCTAGGGATCTACGGTGTAATACATGTGCCCTGTGGCTGAAGAGAGGTGACCAGCTGGAGCCCTAGTTTTGACTCTCCCCTGAAAGATCTCATATTCCAGCACTGACATAGGAGGTTTTCCATTTAGGAAAAAAAAAATGGTGGTGGTTGCCTGTGCTGTCTTGAGCGCGGTGGGTTTCTGCAGCTGGGCTGAGTGGGCTAAGCACTGGTCATCAGTTCCACAAACAGGAAGAGACCTGGTGCTTGTCTTATGCTGGCGAGGGCCTCACCAGCATCTCTTCCCTGTGGTGACACATGCCCAGCTCCACCCTTGCCCAGCTGGACAAACCCTCCAGGGTGGAGGTTCCCTGCCCCAAGTGTCCCTGGTACTGCAGAATCTGTCCAAGCCCTGTCCCAGGCCCCAGCAATGATACAGCTGTGAGGTCTCAGCAAAGCATTTGGTAGAGGGGAGCTGAGCTTAGGCAGATCTGTAAATTCACATTGGGTCTTTTCTTTAAAAAACCAAACCCATACTTTTAGGGGAGTTTTTGACAAATTTCGGTTTCAGAAATACGAGACAAATCCTGACCCAGAAGAGCCTGGCCATAAACAGAGCCAGAGCTCCGACCATGAACAGTTTAACTTTTTCTAGGCTGCAGGTGTTTGTCACCTACATACCAGAAGGTGTGTGTTTGCTTTCTCGGCTCCCTTCTCCAACATGCTTGCTTCCGCCAAGGTAGGTGTGTTTTAGACGTAAGGATTTACGTTATGACTGGAATTCACTGCTCCTGATACCAGCACTCTCACTTTTATCTTTGTAGCCATGGCCTCAAGTGAAGCAGGACAGCCACCACCACCTTCTAATGTGTGGACCCTCTATTGCCTAACTGACCTGAGACAAGGCCAAAACCCACCACCATCCCTTCCTCCTGCTGGAGCTGGTGTTCCTTATTCCCAGGCAACCCTCCGTCTTTCCAGGGGGGAAGATCAACAATGTGGTCAGCTGGCACAAGTATCTGCTCCAATTTACGTGATGCAAGACGACAGCAAGAGGGGAAACGCTCCACCTTTCATTTTAGTGGGCTCCAATGTTCAGAACACGCAGGACTGGAAACCTGTTCCTGGCTGTGCTGTCTTTGCTCAGCGAGATGCAGGTGCCAGGAGGAGATTCGTTACAGTCCCAGTGCCAGTCGCCAGGCCAGCTGATGCGAAAACAGACATGGCAAAGCCCAGTTCTAATCCTGCAGAGGAAACCGGGGCTGAGCCATGCACACCCAGTGTTTTCTTAGTTGCCATCCCTCTGGATGATGTGATGTCTGCAAAGAAAGGCTCCCCAGCTGGGGATAAGCACACAGGTACAAATGCTCCTGCAGAAAGTTATGGTACTGTGGGATAGATAACCATTACATCAGGCCCCCTTCCCAGAGAAGGGTCATGAAGAAGTAAGCTTGCCTCTTACATAGGTCTCACGCAGGGAGATGCTAGTGTTTGGATTTTACTACTAAAAGCTTAATTTAACCCTTTTCAAAATAAAGTAAGATTTAAGACCAGCGGTTAAACTACTTCTCATACGTAAGAGACCCAACTCCTTCCTCTGCTTGTTACGCTTTGCAATTAGTAGTACTAGTCTTGCTCTGGTTTTAGTCTGAAGTAAGCAAGTTTTTAATCTCACATTTATACACATCTTTATGCTTGCAGCCTGAACTTTTAGCATTTGTGTAATAATCAGAATGTGGCAAAATACTCTCACCTTAGAGTGCATTTAGGTAGCAATTAAAGTAGTTGTTGCTGCACACTTTCTACTGAGTTCATGTTATTTTTTTAAACAGGGTAAGAAGAGAGGCTGTATGGACTTCAGGAAGAGTTCAGGAGGAATGGGAGTTTACATTGTAATAAATCGAATAACTTAATGCACACATTTCAAAAAAGCCAGCAATTAGAACTGCATTCCCATGCACATTCCAGGCACAGCACAACATCCTGAATGTTAACTTTGTGTGAATTACAACCACTGAGACACATCTGCTGCAGCTGTTTCAGTGTTCTTCAGTGTATGAACATGGTATATGCATAAGCCCAAACCATACTGACAGATTATATATGGAGCCAAAGTTAGTTCAGTGTAACCAGGTGTAGTCTATACTGCTGGGGCTATACTCTAGGGAGGAACTGTACACCAATGGCAGGAGCAAGAGGACAGTGATACTTTCAACTAGAGGTGGAATGGTCAACTCAGTCAAGCTACAGGTTTATTGAGGCGGACAGCTGAGGATACGCATCGAGGAAGGGGTTAAGAAACAGTGCCTTTATTTTGCTTTAGAGGGGTCACAGCTACAGGTATGGTCACTTAAATATGCCAGGCTCCTGAAGTACAGGTCTAGAAAAAAAAAATATCTATGAAACAGAAGTTGCTCAAAACAAAGGAAGGAAAGTTAAAGTTGTATAGACCTTCCACCCTCTTGAACCTGGGCAGGCAGGCAGGCACTAAAAGCTTTGTTTTTCCTAGCACTGCGTGTTCAATGCCGGGTGACCTGCTGAAGCACTGACCCAACAGCTAGACTGTTTCTACGTATCTCAGAATCCCACTTGAAGTTGCACTGGAATTAAGACGGACTTCAAGAAATGCTGGTCAGAGTACAGGTTTGAGTGCAAAGATGAGGCTTCCAAGAGGCAGTGCAGGTGTTCAATTTCTGCGTCTACACATCGCTGTAAGGGCCCATGCCAAAGAAAAGGCTTTCCCTTATCTATGCAAGTATGTCTCAGCATCACTACCTCGGTAATTCTAGTAGTGCCCAGAATAAAATTGAAAAGCATCTCATTGCCTTATTCACAGTTTTGGTAGTCCACCCTCAAGGCCAGAGCTGCAGCCTCACTGCATATTCAAGGAGAAAGTTCCACAGCCATCCCCACCCCCCAGAAGCAGACTGTTGAGGGGCAAGGAGGTCCCCGAAGCATATGGAAGCAGACTCTGCAACTTCACTGCAGCAGCTTTTGGAGTAGGCTTACTCAGAAAGGGTCAGCACTGCCAAACACCACTCGCTTTAGACTAGATGCAAGTTTTGAAGCCTTTATTTAGTAGCAATTAAATTATTCAATTAACACTAACCTCCAGACAGCAGTTAAAATATTGTACAAAGAGCAGCTTGCCCTCTAGAAGCTCTGTACACAGTTCAATATAAACTTACACTCGAAGATTGAATGCACCCCACTGAAAAGGGGTAAAGCAGCTGTGCACAGGAGGCCTCACTGAGGTGCTGTACCACCTTTGAAATGCACAAGACTTCCTCCCAGGGAGTTTGCACAGTACAGACACAGGTCCTGTCCCCCCCACCACGTTCCACCGGGTCCTGGACTGATTAGGTTCTTGCTTTTTCACAGTGGTGCTGGGCACCACAACTTCTAGTGTATGAAACAGATTCTTTTAAAACCTGTTACTAGTGTGCAGTTCAAATCAAATCCGTAGATATTGAAATGGCTCTTAATTCCTTAAACCATAAGGTTGGTAGCAAAACAGGAGAGCAAAATTCAAAACACACTGCACGAAACATTGAATAAATACCTCTGAGTAATGTTACCAGCTTAAACAATTGCATTAATGCTCCAGAGACGAGAACGCTTCTGGAATCGCTGACCAGAGCTCAGGATTTAAGGGAGTTACTTTAGTAAAAGAAAAGTCACTTTATGAAAAATTACATCTTTACAGAAGTGACACACCCTTCTTCATTTAAGAAGAGAATATTGCAATTACTGTGTGTGCTTTTAAACATTCCCATGTCACAATAAATAAAACCAGTTTTATTTGTGCCAATGTTATCTACGAAAGAAAGTATTCACAGAACAGCCAAAGGTGTTCTATTCCTCATACACCACAACCTAATATAGGTGTATTCAGCAAACGGGGCAGCTCAAAACCATGGTGACTTACTTTGTCCATGCAGGACCCACCATCAACCAGAACAATTATTCTCCTACTTATGGGACTGCAGATCATGTACCACCAGATTTACTGTGGAGACGCTTAATATTTTGTTTGATAATATGTCAGTTTCTTCAGGAGATAAGTAAAACAAGGGAAGACATTAAAACAGATTAAGACTTATTTGTATCAGTCACGGGCTCCTTATTGCATTTTAATAAATATCAGGCAAGTTAAAGTAGTTTCTGTCCCAGTAGTTGCCAGAATAAAGCCAGTCCTGCGTACCAGTATAGGGATTGGGGCCTTGGTGGAACCACCTGCAAGGAAACATAGAGCATGTTAGTGAAGCTATTAACACTTTTATGGAAGTTCAGAACTGCTTTGCTGCATCTTTGGCAGTTTATTGTTTGAAGTAATTATTGCGATTGCAGGATCCCTCTCAGTTTTAAATCTGTAAGTGAATTTTAAGTCCTCTTCAGTGGCTAGATCACCCCATTTGCTACACCGCTTAAATATCTCCTAGGTGAAATTAGCGACACCAGTATTTTGTCAATTGAAGCAGTCAAGACTATCACAAAAAAGGACAGGTAGAGTTTTACTTCAAAGCAGTTGTGAACAATCATTTTGGCATGCATAAGCAGTAACAGTTTTTGCAAGACACATGAACACCACAAGCACTGCAGTCCTGAAAACAGAAAAACATTATTTCCCTGGGATCTAGATTTCCCCTTGTTTTTTAAGGCCCTGTTTTGCAATGCACTCAGAACAAGTGTGCCAGCTACCCTCCGTGTAGATGAAATATCACCCACAGGCTGCAGAAAAAGTCCTGGCTCATTACAACCCAGCTGTGCTGCATTACGCTGTCAGCACTGGGGAGCTAAGCTCAATGGCCACAAAGCTGATTCCGTCTGCATGAAGTTACTTGCAAGCTTTTGCTAAGCTGGTTGTTGCTAGGATCACTGAGTTTAGCACCTTCTTGCTTTCCTTCTTCCCGCTCCCCTCCTACCTAACGTGGAGGCACTGTGTATGCACAGGCACAGATTCCACGTGCACATGTATATAACCTTTTAGTGGGGGGAACATCTTGTCTGTAAAATAAGGTGCACTTACAAGGCCGTACTACTGGCAAGCATCCCCCAAGTGGTGACTACAACCCTCTCAAATCACCACGGCACAGAAGTTTGTCCTTATTCCTCTTCTTCCACACCCGTTTCTGGCAATTTTGCTGATGATACCAAGCTGTGTGGTGAGGTAGACATGCTGGAAGGGAGGGATGCCATCCAGAGGAGGCTGGAGAGGTAGTCCAACCAGGCCAAGTGCAAGGTCCTACATCTGGGCCAGGGCAATCCCAAGGATTGCAGGCTCGGTGGGGAATGGATTGAAAACAGCCCTGAGGAGAAGGACTTGGGGGTACTGACTGATGAGAAGCTCAACATGAGGTGGTGAGGTAGACATGCTGGAAGGGAGGGATGCCATCCAGAGGAGGCTGGAGAGGTAGTCCAACCAGGCCAAGTGCAAGGTCCTACATCTGGGCCAGGGCAATCCCAAGGATTGCAGGCTCGGTGGGGAATGGATTGAAAACAGCCCTGAGGAGAAGGACGTGGGGGTACTGACTGATGAGAAGCTCAACATGAGCTGGCAATACATGATAGCAGCCCAGAAAGCCAACTGTATCCTAGGCTGCATCAGAAGAAGCATGGCCAGCAGGTCCAGGGAGGTGATTCTTCCCCTCTATTCTGCTCTGGTGAGACACCACCTGGAATACTGTGTCCAGCTCTGGAGCACCCAACATAAGAAGGACATGGACCTGTTGGAGTGGGTCCAGAGGAGGGCCTCAAAGATGATCAAAGGGCTGGAGCACCTCTCCTGTGAAGACAGGCTGAGAGAGTTGGGGTTGTTCAGCCTGGAGAAGAGAAGGTTCTGGGGAGACCTTATAGCAGCCTTCCAGTACCCTAAAAAAGGGGGCTTACAGGAGAGCTGGGGAAGGACTTTTTACAAGGGCATGCAGTGATAGGACACGGGGGGCCGGTTTTAAACTGGAAGAGGGGAGTTTCAGATTAGATATTAGGAAGAAATTTTTCACTCTGAGTATGGTAAGACACTGGCACAGGTTGCCCAGAGAAGCTGTGGAAGCTCCGTCGCTGGAGGTGTTCAAGGCCAGGCTGGATGGGGCTTTGAGCAACCTGGTCTAGTGGGAGGTGTCCCTCCCCATGGCAGGGGGGGTTGGAACTCTATGATCTTCAAGGTGCCTTCCAACCTAAACCTTTCTATGATTCTATAATCCTGCAGCCCGTAACTGAACACCGCTTTCTGTCTGGGGCCACCTACTCAATGTTCTGCCTGCACAGCACACTCTGCACAGCACTAGACCTCTAGCACTTTAACTTCTTGTTGTATTTTGGCAAGCCATGCTTATGGCACAAGTCAGCTTGCTAGAAGCTGTTTTTGTAGTTAATACGCTCCACAGTTTCCTTTCACCT